CACACACACACACACACACACACACACACACACACACACACACACACCTGTCCTGGACCTCTCAGGTCATTAAAATCATTAGTTGTTTGTGGTCTTCTGTGTCTGGCTTTTTACACTAGTATGCCTCTATGGCTCACCCTGTCACAGCATGTTTCAGTATTTCAACCTTGTTTATTGTCAAATAGTATTCAATTATATGGATATGTGATGAGCATTTGGGCTGTGTTCAGTTTGGGGCTATTCTGGGCATTCTATACAAGTTTTCATTTCTCTTGGCTATATACCCATACAGGATTGCTGTGCCCACATTTAGCCTTCTGAAGTGCCATGCTACACCAAAGTCACTGCAGAACACAGTGCATTCCTTCCTGCAGAACAGAGTCACTTCTATTTGGCCCAGTCTTGCCAACATTTATTACTGTCATTTGACTCTAGTTTTTATTGGCAATTCTCTGATGACTAGTGATGAGAAACATTTTTGTTTGTTTGACTATTTGTTTTGCTTTTGGTGCTGGGGAAGAAATCCAAGGTTTTTACCACCAAGCTACACTCCCAGCTATGGTACACATTTTTCATGTGTTCTTGGCTATTTCTATACCTTCACTAGCACATGCCTATTTAGCTCAGTCACCATTTTAAACAGAATCATTTCTCTTTTGAGTTACTGACTTTCAAACATTCTTTTTATATCCTAATTATACTCATTAGATACATGGGTTGATAATATTTTCTTCCATTCTTCCATTCTTTACTGTGTTGACAGTTCACTTTAAAGTAACAAGAATTTTTAATTTTGAGATGAAGTCCATGTTTTCTATTTTTTCCCCTTGGGTTATTTATGCTTTAGCTGTCATATCTAAAAATCCAATGCCCACGCCAAGATAAGAATCACTTGCTGGTAGGTAATTATCAGTAAGGTTCAGAACAAAAACAAAACATACAGAATAGAGAGCAGGGCAGGCTAATACAAGTGTGTCTGTGTCTCTGACTGATAGTTATTATCACTGAAATGATAACACAAACTTGATAACATTTGGTGGCCTCTGGGAAGGCAGAACTAATCAGGCTAAAGAAAAAAGAGTATGTAACCTTACACACTGTTCAAATTTTGAGCTGGCTGAGTAATTAACTATTTAAAAAATAATTATATATAAAATTTAAGTTAAAAAAAAATAAAACAACCAAATCTCAAAAACATTCTGGAAATGAAACCAAATGCAAATAAAGGAAAAGAGCCAGCAGGACAGTTCTGCTCATACATAGCCAGATTCTCCACACACAACATGCTCTCCACTAACTCCTAGGAACAGTAGCTTACCATCTGCACAAGACAATCTGCTTCCTACCTATGGTGAGCAGAAGCGTTTATTATCTCTCCAAGAGACATTCCAACAGCCTTGGATAAGGATTTGTATGTTACATGTTTAACATTTTCTCCCCCTCTGCCAAAAGAAAGTTGAATAAAAGGGTTGGACAGAATGGCTATTGGTGTAGCTCTTGCCCCCATGCTTGCAATACAAGGGACAAGGACAGACACTGGAACATTCAAGAGAATGATGAACAACAAAGAAAAGATTGTAGAAAAGGAGGACATAGTGACTGATGGGCTTTGCTGGCATTTGGAAATATGTACACACTTTCTGACACACAGTGTCTTGACACACAATCCAGAAAAAGATATGGTGCTGCCTGACTCACAGCCTTGTACAGACTCAGGACTGGCAGGACTTTGCACTTGTGCAACTGCACCACGTTGGTATCTTCTGTTCCATAGCCCCACATTTGTTTCCTGGTATCCTCTGAGGTGTCAAGCTATAATGCAAAGCATAGCCAACAAGCTGGGGACTGGGGCTGTTGCTCAGTGGTTGCCTGATGTGAAAAGCCTTGGACTTACTCTCTAGCAACCTGTAATTAGCCAATTTACTCATTAATTAAGACCTGGCTAGGAAGCCAGTCTATGATCCTGTCATTACTCCCCCATTCTCTAAAACCCTACAGCAACTGCTAGATATGTTCCTTATCTTATAATTTCCACTGATATCGGATGATCAGCTAACAGGCAACTATTGCCCAGCAAAACTAGGCTGTGAACGGGACTGGGGAGTTCAGAAGTGCTCTGATATCGCTGTAAGCTTCTCATAAATTTACATTGATCTGTCTAGCTGTCTAGCCAAAACTTAAGGGAAATGTTGAACTCAGCCATTTGAACCCACATGACATATACAGACAATGGCAGACACAGTTGCCCATGGAAGTCTTCAGTTAGCAGCATATGCTAATGGCATTTACCTTCTTTATGAAATAAAACCCCTTGCTGTTAAGATGGCTCAGTAGGCAAGACACCTGCTACCAAACCCGAGGACCTGAGCCTCATCTCTGGGACCACATGGTGGAAGGAAGGAAGGAAGTGACTTCTACAAGACATACACAGAGACACAGACAAAGACACACACACACACACACACACACACACACACACACACAAACACACAACCAGGAATGGAATGTATACACAAATATAAATTATTGTGTGTTTTGTGTACATTAAAAAAATGTACACATAGCATGTATATACATTTAAAAAATATGTATATATATTTAAAAATATATACATAGCATATATAAGTAACTTTTTAAAGAAACAGCTCCAAAACACAAAATTAGCATATCCTATACTATGAATAAACTTTAAAACTATAACCACTACAACCCAGAGCTAAAAAAGGAAGTACATGAAGACTAAAGTCAAATTAGATGAAAGCGATTTTCCGATCAAGTACTCCTCAAAGCCCTACGATACACTGTTCCTTCAACTACCTCTGTCATATTCAGTTGAGTGTTAATCAGCACAGTTATATTCTTGCTTACCTCGGCCACGCGGTGGGTGGAACTAAACCGAGGCTGTGAGCCAGCCAAAACACAGTGCTGGTGGGTGGCATTGAGATCATCTACAGGAGAAAAGAAAAAAAATGTTCATTAGTCAGTATACACTATCCACTGTTTAACTGAAGCACAAAGTAAACAGTAACTATGTCTTCCAAGAAACAAGAATCACCAAGGAGTTAATGCTTACCTTGTATTAGGTAAACCTTGTGAATAGCATGGCCACATAAATATTCATGTGTATGTATAAAATGAATCATTCAGAACAGGATTCTCGTACAGGTGCACAGATATACGTACCATAAATAAATCCTCCGCACCAGGATGTTATCAATACCACTCCAGGCTATCCCACAGCAAGCGTGGCATTGGACCCCTACTGACACGTGCTCTTACATGCTTATCTACTGCCACACTTTCTATCTGTGGACTGAGCTGTCCTTTTTCAAACTCATAACTATATCTTCAGCAGAAACCAGAATCCTCTTCAATTATTTGAACGTAAACATATTTTATTCCAAGTTCACTTTTTTCTGTCTAGTTGAAGTTTTAATTTTGCCCTGACAATTAACCAAGCAAGCATGCTGGGCTTTTGGAATTCAAGCCTGTGGACCATGACTTCAGAAAGAAAAAAGGTGGTGGCTGTTCCATTTGCTGATGAATACTTCTAAAACCACAATCTCCAACAGACAAATCAGAAGCCAGACTTCTATATATTTTAAAATTAGTGCTATAGCCAGAAAGTCTAACTTATTACATAGACAAGAGCTGAACTTTAGACAATACAGCTCTTACCAGATACCAAGATAAACAATGACTTCAACTACAAGGCTACCTCCATCAGGCCCCATAGGTGTCAGAAAATACTCAGACTACCTTTAAACACAAAGGAAACACAAGAGGACAAATGGAAGGCTTCAGCTCTCTGACAGCATGAAGTGACAACAAGACTTACTGGCTACTTCTAACAATTAAATGCTTTTAACAGTAAAGTGTAACAAAGCAAAAATAGGAACCAAAGGTTTCTGACACTGGGAAATAGATCCCAGAAAGAAAAGAAATAACATAGGCTGGTTTACAATTGCCAGAAATCAGTGCCTGGAAAGGCGGTCAAATTCAGAGTGGGGATGTGAAGTAGATAGAAATGACAGAGATTAGAGGGTGGAAAGCCAAGGCAGCAAGGTACTTAAAATGTACTAGATTGGGACTGGGGGCAGGAGATAGCCATTGGCTAAGTAATGACCTATGTATGTGTGAGTGAAAATCCCCAAGGGGTGAAAAAGAAGCATTGGAAAGCAGCACCCTGAGCAAACCCCAGAGTTCACTTATGACAGGCATGAGCAGTCTCAGGACAGGAAATGCTTCTTGGATGAGGTACTGGGCAATCCTTAGGACAACTGTCACATTTATAACAGAAAAACTAGTGCCAGAGTAAGGGTTGTTAGGGATACACCCAGCAAAGCCTAAAGTAAGTCTCTAAAGAACCCATTTATTTAAGTAAATCAATCAGCCAGTAGAGCATAATCTAACAGTATTAAAACAAATGTAACAGAAATAGGCATGCATCAAATACCACACACTTTAGTACTCATTGAAAAAAAAATAACAGGACAGAAATCTACATCCACATAAGATATGTACAGGACTTTCTTTTACATATATAAATTTTAATCTTATACACATACTCAGAAGCTTTTGAAAGTCTGATATTTAGTATCTTAAATTAAAAGGCCACTAAATGAGATTAAATGAAAATTAGACACTATAGAAGAAAAAAATGAGTGAATAAAACCATATGAAAAAAGAAACTCTCCAAAATAAAGAAAACATTTAAAAAGACCTTAAAGGAATGAGAGCACGTCAATGATCTATGCACTAACATTAAACAGCTCAACATAACATGAGTCACAGAAAGAGCAAATAATTTCAACAACTTTAACAGAAAAAGCCAATGTGCCCAAAACATTTTCAAACTTGATGAAAACAAAAGTCTCAGAGCTAAAGAATGCAAAAACTGAAGCAAAGTAAAATAAAAACAATGTTCATTGTAATCAGACTTCTGATGGTGGGAAAGGAATATAGTAGATGGGGGAGACACGAGAATGAGTGTGGACGGCTCTTCATCAGCAGTCAGACCACTCAGGAGTCAACCGGAGAATACAGATAAAAACCAAAGACCTCCGTGGAAACATCAGTCCAAATGAAAGCAGAACAAGGAACAAGAAAACACTGATTTCAGCTCCTTTGTAGTTAAGAAAAAATTGAGTTCCTATACTACATAGTGTCCAAACAAAGAATGGAGAAAAACGCTGAGAATCATCTGTGAAATTCATAGTTCGGGAGTACAAAATCCCCAAAAGACCAAGACTGAATCATAAGACACAGACCATTTCCCCTCCTCACACCTCGCCACTTTACTGAAGACCTGTTTAATGTAACACCATTTACGAGAAACTTCATATTATCCATGAAGAAGAAAAGTCTAGAAGTACAGCTTGAAAGAATAAGCATACTCAGAATCAGCCAACTAGGGAGGGGGTTTCAATCACATGTATTAGGCAGATAAGAGGAGATCATAAGTAAATCAACCATACCAGGACCTGAAACTATAATCTGCTTCCACTGGTTTATGGCAGAGAATGTCCTCTCGGATCAGTTATCTTACATGTCAGAGTCTCTCCTTTTAAAGGTTGACTAATACTCTATTGTGTGTGCATAACTATATCACAGTCTGTTTAACTATTCATTAGTTGACAGGCCCTTGGATGACTTCCATCTTTTTGCTATTGTGAATGACAGTGGCATGACAATTGGTGTACAGGTAGTTCTTTGGGAACCCGATTTCAATGTATTTGGTATATACTCAGAAGTGGGATTCCGGTCTTGTACAATGATTGTGTTTTAACATTTGAGAATGTGCCACACAGTCTTTCATGTGGCCATGCCAGTTTATACTTCTATCGTCTATTGGGCTTTCTAGTTTCTCCACAGGTTTACCAACGCTTGCTGGTTTCTGTTTTTCTTTCTTATCACAGTGATATCAATTGGGTGTGAAGTGATACAGGGCTTTTTATTTACATGATGAGTCCTCTTTAAAGAACAGAATTAGTTAGTCTAGTCAATCAAAATTAGTCACAGGCCTAAATGTCTGAGGCCAAATCATAAAACTCTCAGAATAAAAAGGCAAAATACGTGTGACCATCCAAAAAATGCACAATTACTCTTCTGACACTGAAGAAGATAGAGCAGCAGGAACAGAAAGCAGGTCAGCAGCTTCACAGGGGGATCAAAGCACCCAGTCCTGGCACCTCAGATCTTTTATGTGTGAATATCTAAATAAACAACTTTAGCATCATCTTCTCGAAAAAGAAAATGGATTCAGATTCTACAATGAATACTGTCCCAACTAAGAAGGGGAAATCCTGAGAACAACTTGAGAAATTCACAATTGAGAAACACAAAATTCCTAAAAGACCACCCCCACCACACACATACCTCACCACCCTACTAAAATCCTATTTAATGCAGTTCCATCACCTGGGATATCCTCTTAACCATCACGAAGAATATGAAATATTCTAAGAGTCAAAAAGCAGAGCATGAAAGAATGAACAAACATCAGAACCAGTCAGATATGACAAGAATGTTAGAATTATCAGACCATTAATTTTTAAAAACTGTGATTAATATACTAAAGATCTAAAGGGAAAAGTAGACAACATACAAGAGCAGATGGAGAACTTGAGCAAAGGGTGGGGATTCCAATCATCAAAGAGAAACACTCAAGATCAAACCCGACCAGAAATGCTGAGTGTTTCTGATGGGCTCATTAGCAAACAGGACATGACAGAGGGAAGATCTCAAAGCTGAAGATATGTTAATAGAAACTTCCCAAACTGAAAATCAAAGAGAAAAAAAAAGAGAAAAAGTAGACTATGGAAGAACTACAACACAACTACAAAAGGTATAATATATGTATAATAGAAATACCAGAAGGAAAATAATGAAAAGAACAGGAGAAAATTAGAAGAAATGATGAGTAAAAATTTCCATAAGTTACTATCACACATCAATCCACAGAAACTCAGAAAACTCCACACAAACTTAAGCACCAATTATAAAACACTATCCCATATTTACTTATGTTCTATTCATTGTTTTTATTTGTTTTGTTTTGAGGATGCTAAAACTGACCCCAGGGCATGCTAGAATGTACTCCAACACTGGGCTAAACCTCCACCATGGCATAGCACAATCAAATTTCAGGAAATCAAAGGTGAAATTTTTTAAATGAAGCCAGAAGGGAAAAGAAGTCATCTATTTGGAATCGAAGATAAAAACCAAAATTCAACTTCTCCTTAGACACTGTGCAAGAAAGAAATGTGGCATGTTAAATAATTAGCATTGACAATGAAAGGTCAGCAACCTAGGGAGTTCTACTACCATGAGAACAACTTTCAAATGTACAGGGAAAATAATGACTTTTGCCAGACAAATGAAACCCAAAGTCATTGTTTAGACTCACATTTCAAAACTGTTAAGTTTCTCAGAAGAAAAACAAACTCAATCCCGAGAAGCAAAGAAGACATTTCAGAAAGAAGAGGCAAACCTTGAAAGCTTCCGTCTTTCACACTTGTTCTCAGAGACAACAGTTTGTCACGTATGTCTATATGGACTATGACAAATGACAAGATATAAATGATAAGGAGAGAAATCAGAAGTACTTTGTCATTTTAGTGTACCTAAACAATTGTTAAGCAGTCAAGGCCTTTTTAAGGACAGAACTGGAGTAGCTGTAAACATACCTTACAAGTTCCAGGGCAAAAAGAGAAGAAGTATCAGTGATACGAAGAAAGAAAAAAGTATCATACAAAATATTCAAAACCACAAATGGCAGAAAGGGAAGGAAAGAAAGAACAAAAGCAAACAGAAAGTAGCACAGATATGGCAGTTACTATTTCAACTAGAACAGTAATCAGTCATCTAACTATGCCTCTGGCTTTCCTAGGATGGCCCTGAGACAGTTCCATTTATTGCTGCAGGGGAAGGGTTGATGTGGCACTGT